CACCCGACTTCTAATGTCGCAAATTTCGTCGTATCTCAAAAAAACTGAAGGTAGTAACGAATAAAGTTTCCACATACGGCTGTCTCATATACAAACAGTAGTCCGGGCTTAGTGTTATGGTCGTAACTCGTAGCAGCCACAGGGTCCGTGTGAATGGTTGGTATACATAATAACTGTACGTAATGATATAATAAAAATTCTTCGTAGACGGCGAACTTGACTCGTTTTGCGCTATAGTCACATACTCATAAACTGTTTTTCGCCGGCCGCTAGTACCTATTATTATTATTATTATCATTACAACAATTGGAAAACTGACGTGGGGCGTTTAACCCCCTCTCCCTTGTTAAAATAATCATTCTAGAGAAAAAGTGAAATCTTATGTACAATAATTAAAAAAAAAATACCATATACACAGATTATATACGTATATTTTAACACACAATCATACAGGCTCGTATCGAGACCTGGCGTGTTTTCGTTGAAAGCAGTATCTCATTCCATAACCGATGATCGTTGTAGGGATTTTTACTATGGAATGTATTTTAGGTTCTGATAATCTTGAGAAAATAATTTAGGACTATTAGTTATTACTTAATGGTTTTTTAATGACACGTCAATAATATTTTAAATGCTTGTTGACAATCAAACACTTCTAGACCTGCGCTAAATCGCTTTATTTTTGTTATTAGCGATCTTTCATATATCCTGTAGTCTTCCGTTCATCCTGGCCAGTTGCCCTTCCGATTTGTTCCTTTTCCTAGCTCTTCCACATTATTCTTCAATATATATTCCCACCAAATTGCTCGTATATAATATTATTAACCTATTTAATTTTCTAATGGCAAAAAATAATCGTTTACTTACAATACATATTGATAAATTACATTCAAATATGAATATGTTCACATAAAAATATTTTTATTTTTTTAAGTGTGTATGTATACATAATATGCGATATGTACCGTCACAGGGTAGTTGAAATAAACTATTTCATATATTGGTGATAAATCTCTGCCCAGGGGGTGTAAGATGACCACCCAAAAACCACCACATTTTTTGCCTATGATGTTATATTATGTATTATTATATCGAGGAACCGCGTGTATATAAGTACGGGACAACACATGTTAGCTGTAGATCGAGCTGTTTGCGAGTCATTAAAAATAACTATAGTTGAATAAGATAAGATAATTTTCGATAATAAGTAATAATCAATATAATATTATCTTTTGATCATAATATTATAAACCAAAGTCATTATTCGTGATTTAATCATTGATACAGAAATGTGTATGTATATTTTGTAAATATTTTATTCTTTTATTGTAGAACTACCAAACAAAATACATACTATTAATATGATTATTTTTATTATTTTATTGGAGTGGTGAACCCATGCGATAACACGATATCTGGCATAGTAGATAAAGTTTAAGTGTAAAAAACAATTTTCAATAATACTCCGTAATAAGTACATACTATGTACGCGGTTAAAATTAGTTTTATGAAAATTGAGTCTGGGTTGTTATTGTGGAGTGTAGACAAAGGTTATTAATAATTAATAACATTTAACTTAAGTACTAATAATTACATCGCTGGTTTTTGAACCGACTTAACTTAATCCAGTTTATTATTAAATAAAATAATTTGCTTATCCTAGCTCGATGTAAATTTATAGTTTAACTGATGATCATAAGTAATCATGCGTATAATATAATGAGTTTTCGGCATTATTAAAGGGAATATGCATGTCGATTGACATAATATTACTATTTTACTATTAAAAGTATGAATACCTAATTTATATAGTATTATAACCTGTTAATACCTATATTTTAAATAAACGATACATCAAAAATATTATTTTGTTGAGACGTGGTATTATGATGTGTTTGTGTTGTTACTTGTTGATAACACACCTGCAGCGATATTGTTTTGTAATTGATTATTCTATTATATGTATGTATTATACATAGAATAATATTAAACAAGAAAAATAAAACTCAGTATAATATAATTGTAGAAAATTATATTGTATTCGTATTTGCTTACCATTTTTTACAGTATACCTTATCAAGTTTCAGAATATAGAATCTTTAATTTTGAATTATCTATGCATTTAATAATACCAAATATATTATGAGTTACATGTAAGCATACATATACACATGTAGTACAAGTATACGACTTATAATTTTTTAAGTATATTATAATGTAAATTATACCTACTATATAATTAAACGTGCAGTTGCAGTTGATATTGCCGAAGTGGATCAGTATATATTATAGAATGCACTATGTACAAATAATAAAGCTATGATGTATATTACGTATATTATAAGACTATTGCGTCGATAAAATTTATTTAATAATGTATTTAAATCAGTTTTTGTAAAATTTAATTCCACGAAATTTATAATTTATTTGATTGATGTCGTAATTATCAGTTTCAGTTGAAAAAAAATATATATATATATATATATATATTATAGATATTATAATATTATAACTTTACAACTTTATAACTACTTTTTTGGAACAACAACATTAAAATTTATAATATGAAGAATGTGATTTTCTTTAAATATCCAAAGTATGGATGCTTATATATTTTTACGATATTCATGAATTATTTTTTAATATGTCATACTATAATGACGTCAACGTGAAATATTTTTAAAGCGGTATGCCGATAAGTTTATTTCTGGTATGTTTAAACTGCATATTTCACAAAGTATTTATGTGTAGTACATAGGCACTTGGAAAAATAAGGGATCAACAAGATATTCACAACAACATGCAAGCGAGTTAAGGTAGTTTATTACTAAAACAACTATTGTTGTTGTCAATAAAGGTATTTCGTAAAGATATAGAGTTATTACAAATATTGGTACATATAGGTTAACATATTACACCTTATAGTTAATGTTAATATATTATAGCTATCTATAAAATATTATATTACAAATTGATAGAAAAATTTGCAAAAAAGTTTTTTTCAAAGACGCATAGATTTAGATTATAGTACCGTAGCCCATAGTAAAGAGATTTCGAATTATACATATTTCCTTCGATTATATTTTTATTTTAAGTTTCTATAAAATACATTTTTTGGTATTCCCGAAATGTATATATATATATTTATATATAAAACCCTTAGGTTTACTTATTTATTCCTGTGATCTTTTTTGTTTATATTGAAATATATTATAATCCTGTAGTTGGATTTATCTCCCGAAATATACTCGTTAACGTTTTGTAGTTTACCAATAATATCAATTTTTGTTAACTTTTATATACAAAAATGTATAGATGCTTTGTGTTTATTTTGAGTTTTAGTAAATTTTTTTTTATGTTTCGTTTGATTAAAGTAAGAACTGAACAACTAATTAAATGATTTTTTTTTTGTCAACTGTTTTAAATTTTTATTAGAAAAAAGTAAGTAGTAGCATTGATTATAGAATATAATATAGTATTATATTATATTATATTATATAATCAATGGTAGTAGTAATAACAGTTATTATTATTATTATTATTGTTGTTGTATATATTAGTTTAAAAACAAAATATTGAAAATAAGACTTAAATTTAACGACCTGCCCGATGTTTTTAATGTTGTATTATATTTAATTATTATCAATTGCTCACGACTTTATCACATTCACGTTTAAATATAATAATAATTATTACCAAGAACGTTCTCATAAAAATAAAATATTTTTATCGAAAACACTGAAGTAGTTTCCTAAATACGTACAAACGATAAATATATTATATCATTATATTTTATTAGCATTATAATTTGATATTTTTTTCCTTATCCAAATTCATCATTTGCGGCTTCGCGACATAACGGGGCGTTGCCCATTATATATTATAATAATTATTTACAATCAGGTGGGAGAAAAATGAAAATAATACACACAGACGAGTATACAACAATTTCCATTTAGATGCATATAATACATTCATCACACGTGTCACGGATCCACTAACACTCACATAAGATTATTAATTAGTCGGAACGCCTATAATTGAGGATTTGGAGACCCGAGGGTAGGGCGAAATATTAGTAATAATAAAAAAAACCCAAAACAATCAACCCCAAGACACTCCTACATCGTTCGAACGCCTCTACGATTATATACAATATTATTGTTATACGTTTAGTCGCGTAGTGTATTCTAGCGAGGGTGGTTAAGTATGTAATGGATATATATATATATATATATATATATATTATATGAAGCGTGCAAAGGCGGAGGTGTGATGTCTATAGAGCAAAGTAGGTATGTAAACGTTACGATGACTTATAAGAGGACGCCAAATTCACGTGTGTTGTCTTCGTTTAATATGGCGGATTCGTTTTTGGCAAAACACTCTCATGTCGTCGACAATAATATTGCGATATTGCGCATATTCGATTACTCGAAACTCGCTTAAACGTCGTGAAAAAAAAAAAAAGCAACGTTTTCAAATATAGTTAATGTTTTTACATTTGTATACGTTTGATCACAATGGTGGTCAACGCACTCCACAACGTCAAAGCCATATATATATATAACACACACACACTCACACACACACAAATCCACACACAATTGGTTTTGCGTTTTCTGAGACGAATACAATACGGAGCAGCGGCAACAGTGGACAGTGGGAGTAAGGGTTGGTGCAGCAAACAGGGGTGGCTGCATGCGTGTGGCGGTATGGTTGTAGAGACAGTGGGATAACATCGTACATTCGTACGCGTAAATGGTAGGAACATAATATTATATTATTAAAATACAACGGCGAAGGCGGCGCGCGGCGTATTGTAAACGCGGCACCGCATACGCACACACGCCCCCCACCCCCACCGACGACAGTTTTAATCGTCTTGAAAAGAACGACAACAACATATAGTAATACAGAAAAACACCATTTACAATGATCGATGCGCGCGACTACAGCTACAAATAATATAGGCTCTTCGATCGTGGGCTCTCACATGCGAGGTAGACCGCCACCGATCGCCACTGATGATTCACAGTCCGTGTCCACCACTCGTGTTCCGTATCGAATTGTAACACATCTCTATACAGGTATATACCTATAATATACTCGCGCTTTAACAATAATATAATATCATCGGTCTCGTTATTCCGCGTACGGATGCTGTGTTTATACGTACCTGCACGCGTGCACGCCAACTACTCGGATAATATAATAATAATAATAATCTTTTAAATATAACTACAGCGACTAAACCGAGATAACGCGCCGTTAATAGCAACAACAACGTGTTATCGTACGTCGTTAAGAGAAGTAAAAGAAACCGTTTCGATCGGTTCGGGTGATCAGTTTGACGTAATCTCGCCCGCGATGCGCTGCTACAAACGTCGCGCCACCATCCGAGTGCTGCTGCCGCGCCGATCGTAGAACGTTCCGAGTCTCGTCGTTTTTTTGTTTTTGAATTTTTTCGATTTTTTCTATTTTTTTTTTTTTTTTTTTTACGTTTTCTTTTTGTTTTTTGATCGTTTCGTCGTCGTTAATTTTCGATTTATTATTATTCCGTTCAATTCTCCGGATGCGCTGTGAAATGCGTCAAGTCGATTTCCAGACAGCGATGCAAGTGAAAGGTAAAATCGCACTTCCGATTTTGCAGTAGCCGCCTCTGTGTCGTTTCCACATTGTAATTTTGCGTTCGAGCACGAGGGAATTGACTGCCGTTCCTGTCACCATGCATATCAGACACCATAAAAGATCGACGAAAAGTCAGTATTTTCCCAATAAGTTATATTATAAATTTATCGTATTGTAGTAGATACGCTAGTGTAACATGTACACGATAAAATATTTTTACTACTTATAGTGTGCCTATATCGGTCAAGTATTTATTTATTTTTTTAAATCGCACGATAAATAATCTATACTTTCAAATGTACATATTTTTTATGTGTACCTACTCTAATATTATTTAAATTCTTGTTTTTTTCTTCGCTTGTGTTTTTAATTTTTTTTTTTTTACGTTTAATAATTATAAACCAATAAAATAAATTCAAATATTTTGTTATATTCCATCATACATTTTGTATATTTCATTTATTTTAACGGACAAATATTTGTTTAATCTGAATATGCGTTGTATTAGAGATAGACGCTCCGTGAAAAGTTTTGCAAACAAAATTAAATCAATTCCGGTACCTAAATGCGTTTGTTTGTATTGCTGGGTACACTATTGTGTTATGTCTATATTATCGCACAGCAAATGTAAACTCGCCGTAGGTATATTCAGATATGTTGTTCACTGCTATTAAACATAGATATGAGTAACGTGAAATTGACCATTTTCAGATATTATAATAATATACAACGATATTGTAGTTTGCTTATTTGATAATAAAAACATTTAAAATATTTATAAATATTATATTGACTTGAATCTACGTATAGCTGGTTCAAAATTTAGTCATGTATATCGTATATATATATATATATTATTTATACATATAATATTGGTTTAATGTTTTGCATCTAATATTTCATTGTATTACTAATCAAATCGTACGCACTAATATTATCATACTTAAGTTTTATACATGTAATCATATTATAATGATTTAAGATTTCACACGTTCGCTGAGTAACAAAATAAATTAAAAAAACGTAAAATGCCCCATAATCTATTGATCTGTGCATTCTTTAACGAATAACTTAATAAACATATTTTTTTAGTTTTACTTTATTCACTTAATAGTTATAATATTATTAATTAGTATACATAATATGTTATATTAGTAGGAGTTACAATGTTACAAGCGGCCTATTATGTTTATTGTTTACTGTATAAACTTGGTAGGTATAGATGTTATTGTAACCGTATGATGTATTGTATATTGTATATTGTCCATCAACACTATCGAGAGATCAGAATTTAACTATAATGTAACACTTTAAATGTTGTATTGTGTTTAAAAAAATAATGAAATCGTATGGGTATAAAAGGGTGTACAAAAAGAAAACAATTTAAATTATACGATCGGTAAATAACAGTATTGAATACCTACGTATTTACGATGCTGGAGAAAAATGTTTCTTTGACAATATAATATTATAATATAATGTACTTTATATGGAATGAATACAACAAAATTATTATTGATATAGTAAAAAAAAATCGTTTGAAAACGTTTATATGAATACGAGTAGGCCGAGTAACAGGGATTTACATATTACTTGTAAGTTGTAACAATAAAAATTAAAAATGATTAGTTACGAGGAATGGCAACGTAAGATAAATAAAATGAATTATATCAACTCTGATGTATAACGTTATAGCGTAGTCTCATTATTAACAGATCTTGCCTCATAGTTCTAATCCTTCATCCATATTATCAACTCTTATCTATATAATATTGTTATTTTTTGAATTCGAGTGGAAAACGGTGCCTTATCACTGGCCCGTGAACCCGTGCCCTCTGTTGTTATTGTTTTTTTTTTTTTTTTTTTTCAAAACGGCGATGAACTTTTGACGGTTTTCTACCGAACCACGCAAACTCAAACGATTAAAATGTGGATTAGGAGGCACCTATAGTATATTATTAAATACACATAATATGGTGCATATTATGGGTACGTGTTTTATGGTCGTGCAATATTATATTGTTACCGCTGCTACCAACAATACTATATATTGCATATAACTCTGCACAAACGTATTTACTATAATAAAATTATATCTGTTCAGAGGCGTTGCTCGAGTACTGAATAATGTATAATAATACCGCACCGTGTTCGGCGGCGCGTTAATTAGCCTACCTGCTTGGATTGTATGTAATCTTGTACTCTGTTTTCAAGAGTGCTTTGTATAATTCTTTTTTTAACGTTTAGATAAATTAATTTTTTTATAATAATATTATTAATTATAGATATAGGTAAACAAGTATATATATATATTATATATTAACTGCATTTGTTATTATTAAATGATACTATATATTAACACATATTTACGATGGACTATTCCGATAAAAAATCATTAATTATCGAGTTCAGGCTGATAGGACTACTGTTACTTGGCTTGTTTTCAATCAACTAATATTATATATTATTCATATCAAATCGTATCAAATAAAGGAATGGATAGGACCATTGCAGCAACATATTTTGTGATTAAATTATGAGAATATGTAGCTTGGTAACCACTAACCATATTGTTGATAATATTCGTTTCGATTGGCCACTATTTTGATTAGAGCTTCACTTACATTTATCACAAAATATGCATGTCATTCAATCCATTTCTCTAATTTGTTATATTTATGGATACAAATATATGGAGTAAATCGAAATCAATGACATTTTAGGGATTCTGTAATATATCATATTATCGTGCGTAGCATTTAAAATAAATTATGATATTCTAAAGCATTTAAAAATACATAATATACATATTATAATCAATATAGTTAAGTACTGTAGTTTTTCTCGAGTATTCCGATATTAGTATTTTTATGATGTAGTCAAGTATTGCCAATTGAACTGCAGGTTGGTTAGCTATTTAATAAAATATAACAATATTATTATAAAGGCACGTGCATTGTATATTATGTTTATTGTGTTTGGTTCGCACGCATTTTATTCGGGATGAATAGAGTCGTCCATTCTCTTGCTGTGACCCTGAAATCGATGCGAAGGAAACGGTACTATACCGCTACAATATGTTCGGCGCTAACGACAAAACCGTTCCTTTTATTTAATAATAATATTATAATATAGGTACTTGGTGTTTCGTGTAGGTAGAAGTACAATATACACACTAAACATGGTTTTGACAAATGTATCCACAAAACGTACACAATGATCACATATTAAACTATAAGGTTTATGGTTTCATTTTTATTTATCACTGCGACGCGACAGGGAGAAATATTTTAATAGCAATATAACGAGCAAATAATTTTTTTGGTATTTTTCGTATCTAATTTATTTACTATTAAAACGTCGTTGACATTTATTCGAATTATAGACATCGATTAAATTTTTATTCTATTAAAGGATGTCAAAAACTGTTTGATATTAATAAATAATAAATTATCGGTTTTTTTTTTTTTTTCATAGGCTAATCGATAAATACTAAAATAGAACATACACTAATAATGTACTTTTATTATATGATATTATATTTTACGAATGTATTATTTTGTTTTACGATTTCATTAGTTATTCGTCGTTGATTAATTTTTTTGAAATTATAATATGGTACATTATTACGAATCTATAATATAATATAATCTAGGGTACAACGTCGATATTTTTTTAAATTTTACAGTGCTACATGCAGAGTGACATAGATCTATGTAATATAATTATATTTTCTAAGTACTTATTATAAAACTATTCATTAAGCTACTAATTAGTAATTACTATTGCCATTTGATATTATTGTTATCTATTTAAATATAACGTTGAAATTATTTTATAAGTTGTAGATTACATTCTGCGATTAAATAAAAATAATTTTGGTTTGTAATTTTGTGAATTATGAACTTAAAATGCTCCTAGTTTTAGAATAACCAAGCAATATTAAGAGAATTTTTTTACATCTCTGTACGTATAATTGTATTCTGGGATGTCTTAAATATACATATTAATATTATACTCACTGGTCACTGTTAAAATCTTCTTTGTATTTCTGAATTAGATTTTATAATGTCTATATTTTACACTAATGTCTTATACAATTTAAATAGCTTAATAAGGACATAATATACCACGATTCTATGCTATAATAGAGTAGGTTGATTAATGATTAATGTATTTTATACTATCCTAATGATTCGAAAATTTTAACTATTTATATTTTAACAAAACATTGATTATAGTAGTTTTAACTGACATTATCATTATTTAATAACAATTTTTCAGTTATTTTATATAAACCTTAACAATTTATGAAACATGTTTGTAAATGTTGATGAAAAATGTTTACCTGAAACCTATAAATTCACACTTACCTATAGTTTAACTGAGATAAAAATATATTTAACTTATTCAAGTATAAAGTACAAACTACACACATATATATATATATATATTAAAAAAATAATATTAGAATAGGTACGTAATAGCAATAAAAATAAAAATTTATAAATAAATTACTATTAATACAAATTAAATGTTACAATTAATAATATGAAGTAGATGTACGAGCGAAAATTATTGATACTAATAATGATATAATTATGAAAAAAATCGACATTTTATTCTACAGTGAATACCTAGTTATTTCAATTTCATACTTCGGATTTTTTAACGTAGTGAAGTGGAGGTGTCCGTTATTAAAAGAAAAAGGTTTTCTTAGTTTTACCGGAATTTCGAATAATATTTACTATTATTATTGTATTACTAAAAAATGTATATAATTAAATAATTGTACGAAACTACAAAGTATAACGATAATTATATTTTTAAAAACTTTACGTTTCTTAAAATTTACATTAAGATGAATAAGAAGTTAACTTAATTGTCGTACTTAATTATCTATTAACCAAAACAACTTAAGAATATTGTGTGGATTTGATGAACTTGGCAAGAATCCTGGAACCAATAAATAAATAAATATCAAGTGGATAATTAAATTTTATATTTCTTGTCTCCCACACTGTACATACTACATACGATACCGAGGTAAACTGAATAGGTACAATGAAATATTCAATTACATTAATAAGCTTCTTGTTTATTGTAATGTCGTTCGACTCGTTCGAGTTTA